TGCTGGAAATGATAATTGCATTGCTCAAATATTTATCATTTTGCTCTGATATCGCATCCAACATTGTCGTTGTTACGATATTGCGTTATTATTTATAGCTATTTAAAGTTCAATGTACAATTAGTCATGGAGACGGTGATTTACGTTTTAGCGACATAGTAATGTCTCCCTAATTGACCCTCAGCTTGTACACGAAAATGGACAATTTGGGGAGAGGAGATACGATTATAATTGCTGCCAATCGGTAACTATATATTACTAATTATTATATTATAATAATATTATGTAACAATAATACAGTAATAATAACAATATATTATATTGTAATATTATATATATATATAATATATTATTATTACTAATAATTATTATTTAATATATTATATATAATAATAATATACTATTATTATTATACTATTATAATTATTATATTATTATAATTATATATAATATATGATATTTACTATAATATAATATTATAATTATAATTATAATAATTATTATATTACTAATACATTATAATAATTCGAGCCAAATACAGTAATTTCGCCCTAATTCGCACAAAAGTGCGGCTCGTTTTCATAGTTACCGACTGTCAACAACTAATGTCAAATAATCGTATCTTCTCTTCCCAATTTCTCCATTTTTATGCGCAATCTGAGCGTCAATTAAGAAGACTTTACTATATTCTGAAAAACAGTATTCAACAGGAGTCGCTACAACAATCATTAACGGGTCACCGTAATTAACCCTCGCGTTCCGGTAACGGGGTCTCGAGTGACCTTCCTATTTTATCGACAGAGACGAAGCTGCGTGTGTGTTAGTAGTGGAACAAGGGTGGGGAGGGGGATGAAGCGGCCGCAAGCATGTATTAATGAAATATTAGTACGGGTCACGAAAGACCCCATTACCATACATCACAAGTGACCCCGTACTCCGAGGGTTAAAAAGGCACACAGCGAATACTTTTGTTCGTGACTGTACACACGTACATATACATATAGCACTTTCATTATCCTCTAAAATGTGCTTAAAATGCGCGTGACCGATGATCGTATCTGTCAAGGCTTGCGCATTAACGACTACATAATATTTTGTACCGAAATATAAATCTTCCCCCTGCTAGAGATCCCCCTCGTTACACACTGCCAACGAACAACATCGGAGATAAAGCACTCAAAGATGCCCGCGTCGACTTTAATGACACGCGTTACGCTCTGTTCATGCGTACACTGTTCACTGCCGACAAGACTGACGCTTAATGACGGAACTCTTGAATTACTGTCTAACATTTTCCCTTCCTGCCAACCGTTCGGCAACGGGCTGTCCGTTGGTCAAACAGAAAGCGAGGCTAACTAGTTGGATCATGTTGTCGACTTCGGAACTATTGTTCGGACGACTTTGTTTCAGATTCACTAAGGCAGTTGCTCATCGATCTTCTCGACACTGTTTCGACACTCGAACGGCAAAGATAGAACATATCTTTGGGAAAGATAGAACTAAGTAGTTTAGCATCATTTATAATCACATTTATCAATTGTTTAAACGTGTTTTGTTGAAGTATTTTTAGTAGACGCGGCAGTTTCTCTACAGGATGTTTGATAATTATATTAACACTCGGAAGGAGTGATTCCTCAGGTCATTTCAAGCAACTTTTTCCTTTGCGAAAATGCAATCCGCGGCTTCGTTCACGAGTTATTAGCGAAAAACAGTGACCAATGGGAGAACGAGTGCGGCCGGCGCTCCGCCCTTGCGGCCAATGCCGCGTCGCGCCGGCCGTCTGACGCAGCGACGCTGGTCGCGAGGGCGGGGCGTCGGCCGTACGCGATCTCTCATTGATCAGTGTTTTTCGTTAATAACTCGTAAACGGAGCCGCGGAGAAAAATTTTGTAAAGGAAAAAATTGCTTCAAATGACCTCAGAAATCTCCCATTTCTCAGAAAGGGTCAAATAAAAATCCAAACATCGATAAAAACACCGATACTAAACGATAAGCAATTAAGTCATAACTATCGAATGAAAGTTAAATCTGTAAATGAAGATCTTAGCGGACAAAAATTCAGAGAAGTATCTGAACACTTCATTAACTATTAAAACGTTAGGTTATATGATTCCATGCGACGAGATACCCTAATCTTTGACTAATTCTTCAAATTCATTCTTAGTATGATATATTCGAATAAATTGAATTTCAGTAGGATGTTTCGAATGCAAAAGACTTGAACTATCATCAACTGTGGTCGGTTCTAGCCTAGTTTCACTTTTATTCAGAGACCAAACGCAAGAGACATTTGATGTTTTTAATGGAAAAAGTCAACATTAGTATGTAAGTTGAGAGCATTGACCACAATCTGCGACGACATTTTCCGTTCATAACCGTTTTGCTTACAAATAACGATTGCAAATGATCGAAAAAATTCATCCTTATCGATAACTATCAGTTATAATTATTAACAAGCTCTCTATTAACCGAGCCGCATGCAAAAGGCGCTCGTCAATTGCCTTCCAAACAATTTCCGTCGAAGTTGTTGCATCGTATCAGTCCAAACAGTTCGATTACGCACGAAGTTATCGGTCTCGTTCGCTCTCGAAAAACGTTCGCCAGTCGCTGATTGACCTTGAATGGGCCATCGAAAGGCGACAGATAAAACCTCAAGAAACAGAGACGAAGCAAGAGGAGGCAAAAAAGTGCTTCGACAGAGCAGACAGTCTTGTCGCCATAGCCGATCGCGACAGCGACGACCAATCGAAGGCCGCGCGGTCCCAAATTCCGTTCTCGGACAGCACAGATGATCTACGCTAGCCTTATATCTACCAAGCATCAAACGATCTATAAAACGCTCTAAACCGGCCACAACGACTGCGTTAAACAGAAAGCAACGGTATATAGAAAAGCCCTTATAAGCCCGCTCTACGATTCAGGAGGCAGCCTCTTCTTCAAGGTTCCGTACCGTCTTGGTACCTAGCTAAAAGTAGAACGTGATTGGACGAGCCGATCACGTGGGTGACCCTTCGCTGTCGGCGCCACTGCATCCTCCTCGATCAGGTCCTCGAAGCCACCGTGTGTCGTCCTCAGGATCTTCCTCGGGGTGTCCTCTTTCACTCTGACCACTGCTTCGCCCCTCTTCGGGGCCGAAGTCCGCGAAGTGTCGAGCGTTCTCCTCGAGCTCGCCGACGATTTGGATCGAGTGTCCTCTTCGGGGTCGCTCTGGGCTCGGTCTAGGCGCGATCTAGGCTCCGCGTAGACTCGACGTGGACCCGGTGGACCAGTTCAAAGGGTCGATGCACGGTCGATCGGCGGTCCTTTCGCCTCGGTTATCCTTGGTCCCGATGGTGAACGCACTGTCGCCGATCGCGCGTCTGACAAAAGGAGGATGTAGCCGGATAATCTGGCGCACGCGATGCCTCGAGAACGACTGCGGTTGACACTAGACCAGGGGGTGCGGAGGGGGATGCCGGGGAGGAGAGGCGAGGAGGGCTCGGTGGCGGACGTAGCCCATTGGCCACCGTTCGCGGACTAGAATAGCATCGGAATTAGAATAGAAAACGGACGAGGACCGGTGTGGGCCGCCGGCGCTGCGCTAACCGTGCCGCTGAAGATGGCCTCTGGTTCATTGAATGGCGAAGGGGGTCGACCGATCAACCGACGCTCGCCCATGGGGGTGGGACAAACGCGGGGCGAGATTTCGGCCGAGCTGGTGGTCACCCTCTTCGCGATGCTGAGGTGGATGCTTGGGTTATTCGGCGAAATTGTTCGCAAATACGCCGTGACATTTTCTTAACAACTCGATTTTTTTCTATTGTTGTCGATCTGACTTTCATCGATTTCAAGTTTATGGACGACGAGTCGCGAAAGTACACCTTTTGAAACGGTACAGATTTTTTTTTTAATTGGACTAGACGAGTTGGATTTCTTTTTTTAAGTGATAGAGGGTAAATATTAGTTTATTAGTAGTGGATGTAAAATCAGTTGCAAAGAATATAATAGAATCTTCCAATTCTTCTGAAGTTTTCACTGTTCTTTGTTGTTTATTGTGTGGATTGAAATAACCTTAATTAATAATTAATATTTATGGCTATTAATTATTGATGACGACTTTAAGAATATAAAGAATATAATAGTATCTTCAAATTCTTCTAAAGTTTTCACTGTTCTTTGTTGTTTATTGTGTGGATTGAAATAACCTTAACTAATAATTAATATTTATGGCTATTAATAATTGATGACGATTTTACGATACAATTTGTCTTTCTTCGCTTCGACTTCCGGAAGGAAGCAGGATTGAAGATACAACGATGTGAAACAGTTATTTTATCCCGGAAATGCCAAATTTCGGGTTGCCGGGAATTTCCCTGTGCTAGTCGTACGCCTATGTAATTTATTGCTACGTCGATGCTAAGGGTCGAGCGTGCGATGCGGCACGCGACGCGAATTTCCGGAAGACAATACAAAATGGTCTGTTTACAGTAAATTCTCCCCGATTGACCCTCAGCTTGGAAACGAAAACGGACAATTAGGGAAGAGGAGACACGATTGTTCTCCTCAATTGTCCCTCAGCTTGGAAACGAAAACGGACAATTATGGAAGAGGAGACACGATTGTTCGAGCCTCGCGGCCCAAGAAACGCGACTCAGTATTCCCGAATTCGCCGGTTTCAATTCCGACCTCCGAACATTTCTCGGAGAAATTACTGTAATTATGCGATAGACGGCTCAAAAGGTTCATTAATTCATCGTTTTCATTGAATATGCAGGCGCGGACACGAAAATTTCGAAGTTCATAAAATGACCGGTAAAAATTGGGATTTGCATAGAGACGAGCAGAGTCTCTCTCTCTCTGTCTCTGTTAATGACAACGATTAGCATAGTTATCTCTGTTCTCTTTTCGCGGGAGAGAAAAAGCTGTGTCGGTGCCGCGCGCATAGCTTCCGTCTCAAGCGCACGCAAAGCCGGCCCGTTCTAGTTTTAATCAGATTTCAGGGTTCAACGTACCTCGGCCGTATTTTAAGTAACAAATAGAAAGCACTTTAAATACTTCGTCCAGTTGAACACATTGTGCTAAACGGTTCCTCGCAACCTTCCCGAGTTTAATATCGTTCCAACGGAAAATCGGGTTCCCAACGCGGCGGTGGAACGCGTCGAATAAACTGTTTTATAAACTGTCAAATGAAATGCAAAATTGCAGAAACATCAGGAAGATATGGTTGTCAATTTATAAGAATATAATTATATAATCTATATTATTAATATATATATATTAATATATATTATATTATATATTATTAATATTATATTAATTATTTATATTAATATATATTATATTATATTATTAATATATATATTAATATATATTATATTATATTATTAATATATATATTATTAATTAATTGATTAGGTTACATTTGAAAAGAATTAACAAATGGAGCTGTGGAATAAATATTGCAAATCTGAATCGCAACAATTAAAAATAGAAAATTCCTTTCTTTAACTTTTTTTAACAACAATGCAACTTGTTTCCTATACCACGTGCTAATCACTGTCATAAAATTCGCAATACATTAGAATATATAAATAAAAATAAATAATAGAAACAAAAATTTTCCAAGTCGATTGTATTCGTAAAATTTTGACGAATTGAAAATAACGTGACGATACTATCAAATACATTTAACAAAATTGTCAATCCGAGATACTGAATGGCTCCAAGAATAGCAACAAGCAAGGACGTAGCCCAGAAAAACAATAACAAATTACACAATTACACTACGTTCTACAATGTATGTATATCTCGCGCACAACGTTACTTGCAAAAAAGAAACAATATTACTTCTACCACCCTTTCATTGTTTTCGCAAGAAAAACGCTGGCTAATTTTAGCCTAAACTCTCTGCATGTAAATAATAAGTAATTATTTTCTGTGTGTTATCTAAACTTCCAACGAACGAACAATTCTTTATTTAAATAACCATTTAAATGAAGATATAAATTAACGCTATTTTTACCAATATTTTGCATTAATATTTATAATTTATTCTATACAATTTAGCAAATTAATTTTGCGATGGCTATAGCCAAAGTCGAGAAGCGATTGCATAAAAAAAACATAGGAAATAATTGGTAACAGAAGTTATTAGAAGATCTTAATATTTTTTCCAAAGGTAAAAATATTAAAATTACCTTTGGTAAAAATATTAAAATTACTTTTGGTAAAAATAACGTTGAACAGAGATTATTAAAAGGTGTTCTCCGACACCTTCGGTAGAAATAGTGTTAAACGATGCCCGGACTCTGGTCTAAATAATTAACTAGGCCCGCCGTTGTAGGTCGAGCGGCCGTGTTTACGAGAGCCTCTGTGCTCCACCATTTTCGTTCGCGCATAACGGGGATCTATAGATCGCTCAGCGGCTCTATATTTTCCGTCGGTTCATTTCGATCACGGCGCACAATTATTTCCCGCCGCCGGATTCCGTTTTCTGGTTACAAAGAGATTCCGAAAACGAAACGTTCTCGACGAAAGGTTCGTCGAGCAAACCGAGCTAATCGCCGACTTCGCGAAAACCAAGAAAGCAATGCCCGCGCCGGCTGTCACGTAACGAGTGACGCGCGGCCATCAAAACGTTGCTGACTTGTTGCCCGTGTAAATAACCGGGTCTTGCGAATATAAGAGATGAAAAGCAGCAAATTCGCAGCTGGATACCCGAAGTCGCCGCGACTGCCAAGTAGGTTGCACGTCGCTTCATTGTCGCGTTACATAAAACACGCCGGCATTCACTGTTTCCTCGGGAGAGAGGGAGAGAAAGAAAGACAGAGAGAGAAAGAGAGAGAGACAAAGAGAGAGACGAGTGAGATTGTTAACCCGCGCTCACACATTCCGTAAAATCAATATCACGCGAAGAGAAACTATATCGCAGAAATAGTTGCACGGAATGCCAATAATAATACAAGTTAGTCAGGGATAAATGAAATAGTAAATATTTATATTTGCGGCGTGGTAAATATTTTTGTTGACGATGACTGATAATGCGGTGCAAAACTCGACGAAGATTACTAATATAATCTCTTCAAAGTAGTTTCAAAACGCAATTTGTTTCTATTATACAGGGTGTCTCAAAAATGTCTCGTAATCCAGAAATGGGAGGTTCCTGAGGCCATTTGAAGTAACCTTTTCCTTTACAAAAATTTTCTCCGAGGCATCGTTCACGAGATATTAACGAAAAACGCTGACCAATGAGAGACCGCGTACGCCTGACGTCCCGCCCTCGTGATCACTGCTGCTGCGTCAGACGGCCGGCGCGACGCGGCAGTGGTCAGTGGTCGTGACGCAGCGGCACGAGGGCGGAGCCTCAGGCGTACGCAATCTCTCATTAGTCAGCGTTTTTCGTTAATATCTCGTGAACGATGCCTCGGAGAAAATTTTTGTAAAGGAGAAAGTTACTTCAAATGACCTCAGGAACTCTCATTTCCGGCTTACATTTCCATATTATATTCGTATACAATATATTATATTCATAATACAATATTTAACAATTTGTACGTAATGTAACAAGCGAGAGCTTTATTTTCATCGGATTATCTGTCAGTGCGCGGGAACGTAATTGCGTGCGATAGCCCGCAAATGAATCTACGGCGATGGCCGTGATTAAGGGCGTGAACGGTGTCCAATAATTCTGCACCGAATGTGACGAGAAACGCGGAAAGGTCACGAACGAGAAGCAACGCTTCGGCGCGTTGCAATTATGGCACCGACACTAAATGACACTAATTTCTGGTCGCAACTCGAGCCGGCCGACGTACACACACAAAGAGAGAAACGGCAGGCTCCGTTTTGTTTCGCCTTCTGCTTAGCGATACGCGCGAACACCAAGTTCAATGTAAATACAATGGTGCGAATAATCGTGGACTCGCGAAGTAACTTTTACATTTTCATGTTTCCACGATTTTATGGTTTTACAATTAGAAATAGTAGAAAATGGAAATATGCAAGTACAGATTTTTTCATTCGAACTTTGTTTAAATATCAGTAAATATTAATATATACAGTATATTATAATATACTTATATAATATACTATAATATAATATACTTATTATAATATATATATTAATATATATTAATATAGTATAAATATTTAAATATCAGTAAAAAAGAAAGTTACTTTGAGTCTATAAATACGTACACCATGTACAATTATGGTTTTCGCGGCCTTTATCCTTTATCCGTTCTTCGATTTTCCAACTCATCGCTTTATTTATAAAAATAAATAAAAACATTTGAAAAGTAAAAATATAAAGAAAAACATTTGAAGAAAATTTGAATAGTTTAAAATAATACAATGTTCCCAAATAACTCACGTTCCTTTA